AAAAAAAAAAAAAAAAAAAGAAAGAAAGAAATTATGTCATGAAAAAGGGGTTTTAATTAAAAGCTTTAATTGTTCCAATACTATTTTATCATGTCTTCTAACAAAATCAGGTAAGCAGCAGGAATGTGATATTTATTTATTTATGACAGAGTCTCACTATGTTGCCCTCAGTAGAGTGCTGTGGTGTCACAGCTCACAGCAACCTCAAACTTTTGGGTTTAAGAGGTTCTCTTGCCTCAGCCTCCCAAGTAGCTGGGACTACAGGTGCCCACCACAATGCCTGGCTATTTTTTTTTTTTTTTTTTGTAGTTATCATTGTTGTTTAGCTGGCCTGGGCTGGGAACAGAAACCTGCCAGCCTCGGTGTATGTAGCTGGCGCCGTAACCACCGTGCTACAGGTGCCAAGGCTATTTATTTTTGAGACAGAGTCTCACTTAGTTGCCCTGGGGTAGAATGCCATGGTGTCATAGCTCATAGTAACCTCAAACTCCTGGGCTCAAGTAATTCTTTGGCCTCAGCCTCCTGAGTAGCTGAGACTATAGGCACCTGCCACAATGCCTCGCTATTTTTAGCGACGGGGTCTTGCTTTTGCTTAGGCTGGTCTTGAACTCCTGAGCCCAATCAGTCCACTTGCCTTGGTCTCCCAGAATGCTAGGATTATAAGAGTGAGCCACTGTGCCTGGCCATGGAATATGGTTTTAGATTTTGTTCTGGGATGTTACATTTACTGACATGGGAATACAGGCCTACTCTTCTGAGGACCAGGGAACGTGTGCTCCCCTCCTGGCTGGCAGGCTCCTCATTGGCCCTGTTGGGTTGCAGGTCTTCCACTGCCATTTCAACAGCAACTTCTTCCCCCTCTTCTTGGAGCACCTGTTGTCAGACCACATCTCCCTCTCCACGGGCTCCATCTTGTTGGGTGAGTGCGTGCCTCAGGCAGATCGGAAGGAAAGAGGCTTGCACCCCAGAACTCCCACCCCAGCTGCGGCATGGCCACATTACCTTCAGGGACCAGGTGGCAGAGGGTGGGGAATAATCTGCAGTGCCTTCCCAGAGGGAGGGGTGGGAGCCTGTCGTGAGTAGGGGGAGTACAGCTACTCTCAATTTGGGTCTCTAAGAGATGGTGCCACCCTAAGGTGATGCAATGCATTGTCTGGTTCATAGCAAGAAATGTAGCCTGATGGGCCTGGGTGGATGGGTGGGTGGGATCTTGGTGGTCACTTGTTAGGTGTCCTTGAATGTGTTATTTCCTGGGTCTCCCTTTCTCATCTGTAAAGTAGGGATATTAATCATACTTACCTTAAAGGGTTGTGAGGATTAGCTAAAAGAGCATGAAGCTCTTAGCACAGAGTCTAGCACATAATCATTGAAGCTGCAGCCGTGCCCTAACAAGCTGGTGCCCCACCTCCCCTTCCCAGGCATCTCCTATGTCGCTCCCCATCTCAACAACCTCTACTTCCTGCCTCTGTGCCGACGCTGGGGCGTCTATACTGTGGTGCGGGGGCTCTTCCTGCTCAAGCTGGGCCTTAGCCTGCTCATGCTGCTCGCTGGCCCGGACCACCTCGGCTTGCTCTGCATCTTCATTGCCAGGTATGCTCCTGCCCATCTCTGCCCTTGCACCTCTGTCCCACTCCTTCACTCTTGCTGCTCTCTCCTCCCACAGCAACCGTGTCTTCACTGAGGGCACCTGTAAGCTGCTGACCTTGGTGGTCACTGACCTGGTGGACGAGGACCTGGTACTGAACCACCGTAAGCAGGCGGCCTCGGCGCTCCTCTTTGGCATGGTTGCCCTCGTGACGAAGCCAGGCCAGACCTTTGCCCCATTGCTGGGCACCTGGCTGCTCTGCTTCTATACAGGTGAGGGCCCAAAGCCAGTCAAGGGGTTCTCAAGGCCCCAGGGGAATCTAGCTGATCCAGCTGACAAGTCTGGGCTCTGGGTCCAGAGAGAGAGAAAGGATGCTAACTGGCCCCTCTCCATGGGGGGAGAGGAACTGGTTCTTAGATTCCTCCTATCTTGGTTTATTCATTCATTCATTCAGTGAATATGTGCAGAGTACCTTCTCTGTGCAGACTCTAGGTACTAAGGAGATAACAATGAGTAAGACAGAAAAGGTTTTTGCCGTCATGGGATTTATATTCCAGTCAGGGGTGGGGGTGGCAACAGCCAAACAATAAAATGTCAGGCAGTGATAAGTGCCATGGTGAAATTAGACAGGGAGATGTGAGACACTGACTGAGAAGCCACTTAGTGAGATCAGGGAAGGCCTCTCCAAGAACGTACCCTTAGGTGTGAACTGAATGGCAAAGGTTTGGTCTAGAACAAAGCTCAGCGAATCCCAGGCAAAGGAAAGGGCAAGTGCAAAGGCCCAAGTTTGCAGGAGTGGTTAGGAGATAGGGCTGGAGAAGTGAAGAAGGGTCTATAGATCAGGCAGGGTTTGGGTTTTGTTTTCAGTCAAAGGGAAGCTATGGACCCGGCGCTTATAGCTCAGTGGCTGGGGCACCAGCCACATACACCAGAGCTGGTGGGTTCGAATCCAGTCTGGGCCTGCCAAACAACAATGACAACTACAATCAAAAAATAGCCAGGCATTGTGGTGGGCACCTGTAGTCCCAGCTACTTGGGAGGCTGAGACAAGAGAATTGTTTAAGCCCAAGAGTTTGAGGTTGCTATAAGCTATGATATAACAGACTTCTACCCAGCTACCCAGGGCCACAGCTTGAGGCTCTGTTTCCGAAAAAAAAGAAAAAAGAAAAAAAAAGGGAAGGTACGGGGAGAGTTATATTTATTTATTTTAGACAGAGTCTCAAGCTGTCACCCTGGGTAGAGTGCCGTGGCATCACAGCTCACAGCAACCTCAAACTCTTGGGCTTAAGTGATTCTCTTGCCTCAGCCTCCCAGGTAGCTGGGACTACAGGTGCCTGCCATAATGTGCGGCTATTTTTTTTTTTTTTTTGTAGTTGTCATTGTTGTTTTAGCTGACCCAGGCCAGGTTTGAACCCACCTTGGTGTATGTGGCTGGTGCCCTACTCACTGAGCTACAGGCACCGTCCTATGGGGAGAGTTTTGAGTGGGGAAGTGACATGGCCAGATTTACATTTTTTAATGTTCACTGTGGCTACTGCCTGGAGAACAGATTGAGGCAGCTTAGGTGGAACAGTAGGGAGATAGATAACTGGGAGACTGGCAGAGGCCACAAGAGGCTTAGACCAGGGTGGCAGGTGGGGTGTGTTTTGGAGTTGGGGAGAGAAGGATTTGATGTTGGGAAGGGAGTAAACTGAAGTGAGGAACTGAGGATAACTTTGGGCTATGGCCCAAGTAATGGGTGAGTGGTGATACCCTTCACCAAGGAAGGAAAACTAGGGGAGAACTGGGCTCAGGAGAGGAATGGAGAGTTTTGGTTTGGACATGTATATGTGATTTTTGAGATGTTACACAATGGGCTTTAGAGGGGGCTGGGACTTGGAGGGAAAGTGACTGACCATGATCTGTGTCCTCTCATCCTAGGTCATGATCTTTTCCAGCAGCCCCCCATGACCCCTGTAGGGAGTGCCCAGCCCTGGCCAGAACCCCCAGCCCCCGCTCCTGCACAGGCCCCGACGATCCGCCAGGGCTGCTTCTATCTGCTGGTGCTGGTACCCATCACCTGTGCTCTGCTGCAGCTCTTCACCTGGTCCCAGTTCACACTGCACGGAAGACGCCTGCACATAGTCAAGGCCCAGCGCCAGAACTTGTTACAGGCCCAAACCTTGGACATTAAGATGGTGTGAGCAGGCCAGGCAAGGTGGCTCACGCCTGTAATCCTAGTACTCTGGGGGGAAGGTGGGTGGATTGCCTGAGCTCAGGAGTTGGACACCAGCTTGAGCAAGAGCAAGACCCCATCTCTAAAAATAGCTGGGTGTTGTGGGGTACACCTGTAGTCCCAGCAACTTGGGAGGCTGAGGCAAGATAATCACTTGAGCCCAAGAGTTCAAGGTTGCTGTGAGCTATTACACTTCGCATGTTACCAAGGGTGACAAAGTGAGACTGTCTCAAAAAAAAAAAAAAAATGTGAGGTGCAGCAAGTCCACTCTGCTGAGGACACTGCCTGAATCCCAGGGCAGGAACAATTTTGACCAGTGTCCTGCTCCTCCACATTTCTCAGGTATAGCCTGGGGAACACATGGCAGGGTGGATTCTCTTGGGGCTGAGCCACAAGTATCACTGAGGTCTAAGCCCCTGCTTAGCTGTTTAGTATAGCTTGGGCAAGGGCTGAGCCAAATGTGCTCAGGGATCTGCTTCCCTTGTGAGGCAGGAGGAAGAGAGGATCAAGAAGGGATAGGGCTGCCCTGTAGTGTACACAGGGTTGCTGTGGGGCTCAGAGGCTCATCCCACTGCCTGGCTGGGGCTGGCCACTATGGTGGGCTCAGGAACCATTTTTGATACTTCAACTGCTCCCTTTTACCCAGACAGGGAAGCTGTCAGGCCCACAGCCCTCTCCTTCCACCCTTTCAGTGATTTCCCTGAGAGGGTTCTCTGCTTCAGCTGTGCTTGAAGTAGCATACCTCCCCTGCTGTGGGACTCCTCCAGCCCACCAGGCCTCTAGAGCTGGATTTTGTTGCAGACTCATTAAAGTCAGTCATTCCTATTTCTCAGATCTGTGCTGTGTGTGTGGAGGGGTGGGGATGGGACTCCTCACTGACTAGAAAAATCACCTGAGAGCATTTTTTTTTTCTAAATGAGTTACCTGCAGCAGACTCCTTGAGGTACTAGGGGGGAAAAATGCAGGTTGGTAGACACATAGATGATGGGGACCAAAATCACCTTCAGGGTTGAAGTGAGGAACTGAGGATAACTGGGGCTTTTGGCCCGAGTAATGGCCCCAGCAGCCCCAGGGCATTTCACTGGATGAGGGATGGGAGAAGCCTCTTCTAGGCCAGAGGTTCTCAGATGTTATAATTCTCTATAGGTGACTTTATCACAGATGAGATAAAAGCCACTGCTGGCAGGCCAGAATTTCTCAGCCTTGGCACTAGAGATATTTTGGGGCCAGATAACATTTGCTGTGAACATTTAGCAGCAACTCCTGCTTCTGCCTGCTAGGAGCATCTCCCCTTCCCCTAGTGGGACACGAACACCTATCTCCAGACGTTACCAGATGCATCCTGGAAGCAAAATTGATACCAATTTGTCACTGCTGCTCTGAACCAGTGGTTTTTGAGAGTCTGCATAGTGGTTAAAAATGTAGCTAATAAAGGGGCAGAGCTTTCGAGATTGCTTAATGCAGGGGTGTCCAACCCTTTTTTCCCCTTTGCTGTACACTGAAAGAATAAGAGTTGTCTTCGGCCACACATTAAACACAAATACCAAAGAAAGCTAATTAGCAAAAAAGGAAAAGTCTGTGCATACTTTTCACGATATCTGACACGAGGGATAAGCAAAACAGTGCTCACATAATCAGCAGAGGCCTGCCCCAGGGGAGCAGAAGTATACCCATGAACCTTACATTTTTCACTGGCTCCACATCCTTATCTGTACAATGGATAATAAAAACACCCACACTTTGTAGGGATATTGGGAAGATTAAAGGGGTTAACATTTGTCAAGTACTACTCAGGAGGCTGAGGCAGAAGGATTGCCTAAACCCAGGAGTTTGAGGTTACTGTGAGCTAGGCTGACACCACAGCACTCTACCCTGGGCAATAGGCTGGATGTGGTGGCTCACAGCTGTAATCCTAGCACTGTGGGAGGCCAAGTCAGGTGGACTGATTGAGCTCACAAGTTTGAGACCAGCCTGAGCAAATGCGAAACACCATCTTTACTAAAAATAGAAAAAACTGGCTCAGCGCCCATAGCGCAGTGGTTACAGCACCAGCTATATACATCAAGGCTGGTGGGTTCAAACCTGGCTCAGGCCAGCTAAACAACAACAACTCCAACAACAAATAGCCAGGTGTTGTGGCAGGCACCTGTAGTCCCAGCTACCTGGGAGGCTGAAGCAAGAGAATCACTTAAGCCCAAGAGTTTGAGGTCACTGTGAGCTGTGATGCCAGAGCACTCTAAAAGGGTGACGTAGTGAGATTCTGTCTCAAAAAAGACCAAGACAAAACAAAAAACAAAAAACCTGAGGCAAAAGGATTGCTTGACCCCAAGAGTTGGAGGTTGCTGTGAGCTATGATGCCATGGTACTCTATCCTGGGCAACAGCTTGAGATTCTGTCTCAAAAAAAAATTGTCAAGCACCTAATGAATTACCCACCAAATGCAGGTTTAAAGTGGGTATGTTTAGTATGGGCCTCATTAACTGCTTCTTATGGAAGTTTAAGTACCTCTAATTTCAGGAACGTCAAGAGCTGTTCCTGTCATTCAGAGTTGAGTCTCATCCATTGGCTTGAGTATGTACACAGGGTGGTATCCTCAGTTCTTGAATCTTGGCTTTGGTGTGAACACTATTTTCTCTGTGTCCATCCAACAGGCTGAACTTGGGCAACAGTCTGGGTAAAAGTCTGGCTGGTGCAATGGTGCCCTCTAGAGACTGCCCCAGCCCAGTCTCCCTTCAGGTGCAGAACCACAGTGTATCCCTCTTCTCACCTGGCAACAGTCACAGACAGAAAGAGGCCTAGTGGACTGTCTATCGGAACGACTTTATTTCAGTACACTGGGCCCCACCAGGCAGGCAACATGGTTTGTGCGAGGCTGTGCGAGGGACAGGCTCGGGCTAGGAGAAGGGAGGTGAGCTGGTTAAGCGTGCTGCAGTCCCCGGGGCGCCACATCACTTTCAAACACACCTGCTGCTGTGGCCCACATGTGGCGGGGCCTTTGGTCACAGAGAGAATACTGCCTGGAATCTGGGATTGGAGTGGGTACTGGTGTCACAAGTAAGGGTGACAGTGAAGACTGGCTGGCCCCAGCTTTGTGTGATCTGGACTGAAGGACTTTTGGACTACTATGAGGAGCCAGGCCTGGGCCCATCAGCATCTGGCCCTCTCCCTCCCTAACAGGTCCAAAGTCAAGAATGGCACAAGATCAGCCCAGATGGGGCTGTCCCACCTTTACAACCTAATCCCCTGGTCAGCTTGAGGCAAAAGGCAACTTGGTTAATTGCAGCTTTTTCCAGTCCTAAGGGTACTCCAACACCCCTCTTTTGCTAGGGGCCTCTGCCAAACAGTAATTGTACCTCCTGTTTCAGAAAATCCAACCAGCAAGTGGCCTGTTGATTCCAGCAAGCAGAAGAGGAAGAGAGGCTGGTGGGAGTGCCTTTGAGTGTAGCCAGTGATCCCAAGTGGCCCTGCAGCCTATGGACACTGTCAGCTCAGCAGCAGCAGAGGGAAGGCGGGGCCCTGGGTGCTAGGCTACACGTAGGTCTGTAAACATCAGCAAGCAGGGCAGGGATGGTGCCCTCTCCCCAGCCCCTCACTGAACAAACACTTAAATAAGTAAAACTGAAGATGGCATTGCAACATGGATGGATGAAAAGCGAGTGACAGGATCCGAAGCCAGCAAACTCCTTAAATTCTCCCAAAACCTAGAAAGGGACTGGCTAGGCTTGGAGCATTAGCTCTCTAGTCAATCAGAAGTAGTATGACTGCTGCTCTCCACCAGTGACCAGAGTGGTCCAGGTCCCCAGGTGAATGCAAGGACCTCCTGCTCTCTACTGAACCCAGAGGCCCTAGGACAGCTCCTAGAGTGTTTTTCTAGCCTCCATAACCAAAATGGCAACAAAACCAGATGGAACTCAGCCCCAACCCTCAGCTTGCGTCAAGAGGCATCAAGAACAAAGTGACAAACAGGGGGAGGCAGAAGTGGCCTGGGCCTCTGAGGGTGGGAGTGGGGTTGGGGTCAGCCCAGCTTGGATGGGCAGCAGCAAGGTCTCCCTAGGGGGTTGCCTTACCTCCCTCATCGTCTCTGTGTGGTAGTAATCGTATGGCCACACAGCCAGCCAAAGGCCCAGTTGGGGAAGAAGTGTGGCCTCTGCCGGCACTCTTCCCTGTCAGGGGCCAGTTAGTGGTCAACCCCACGCCTCAGGCCATCGCCATTGTGGGTAGTTCATCATCCTTTTTGGGCCCGGGGATCCCTGGGCCACACGCACGGAGCACACACTCTCGTACCCACACACACACTCACACATAGGCAGTTCTTTGCAAACACTCCGACTCAAGAAAGCGAGTTTTAAAGTGGAGTTAACTTCAGAGAGAGGTGAAGATGATGTCCCAACATTAGAAGGTTTTCCTGTGGATGGATCGGGCACCGTCTTCCTCATATTCCTTCTTGGAGACCCACATCTTCTTAAATGTGTCCAGGGAGGCAAGGATAGAGCCCCTGGAGTAGAGGGAATCCAAAGGAACAAACAGTGTAAGAGAGAAGAGGGTATTCATGGAGCCAGCCAGACCCCTGCGGCCAATTCAAATCAGGTTTTTCTTTAAAGGGATGGGGCACAGAAGGCTTATCAATGCCTTCTCTCCCTGCCCTTCTTATTCCCAGAAGAGCTACTCACCCAATCCATGTGGAATACAGTCTCTCCTGAGGCGCAGATATCTGCAAAGTGGGGTGGGAAAAAGAACCTGAGACTCCCCTTCCCCTCCTTTTCCTTCTCAGGCTTCTCTCAATGTCTAAGCAGAGAATAAATTTCACAGAATAGACTTAAGCTCTGTCTCTGCTAGACCCTGTGGCCTCTCTGGAGGGCACTGTGGCCTGATACTCTTCTGGGGAAGTAGGTTTCCAGCAGCCCTAAGTAACTATAGCTCCCAAGCAAGCTGGGGCTCTCTGGGAGCCTGAAGGAAATAGACTCCATGGCAAGAACCACACTCCATTTAGGATGCCTCCTCAGGTAGCCAGCTCCCTTTATCAGTCACTAAGATGCCAGACTCTGTGACAGGGGAGCCACCTGGACAAGGAGCACAGCAACAGTAAAAGTCAATCTTCTGTCAATATTTTTTAAAGAGACAGTGAACTGCTATGTTGCCCAGTCTGGTCTTGAACTTCTGGCCTCAAGTAAGCTTGCCAAGTAACTGTTTTTATAGGCATGTGCCACCATACCTCACTAATCTCCTGTCAAGACCATACATGGGGCCCTCAGCCTAGGACCTGGCATGTCTGAGTATTAGAACTACCTCCCTTTTGAGTGAAGAGGGAGAATGATAATGGAACCTCCCTCTGGGACTTAACCCTCAGGGTCAATGTGTAAGCTGGGACTAATGTGGTGCTGCCTGTAGAACCCTGGCTGCCCAAAGAGCTTGGGTAGAGCCAGAGGGAGGACACATCACGTAGCACTCCAGGTCCCTGGAGGCCCACTGCTACCCAGCCAGCTCCCACCCAGCTCCTACCCTAATCTTCACGTCTTTTGGAGCCAGTTTCTTCACTTCACTCAGTAGCCTGTCACCAAAACCTGAACAAGCAGAAAAGGAGAATCTCAAGTCAATTCTCTGAGTGTCTGAGCCCAGTAGGATCTGGATGTTTCCCAAGAGCAAAAACCAACCTTTGAACAGGGTGGAGCCTCCTGAAAGGACTATGTTGGAGAAAAGTGTGCGCCGCAGATCCATGTCAGACTTCTGAATGGCAAACACCAGGACTTCATGGATGCCCTCGCTCTCCTCACCGATTAAGTCCGGCCTGAATAGCAGCTCAGGGGCCCGGAATCGGGAAGGACCAATCTGCAGGGTAGAGGGCCAGATTAAGAGGTTGGGGCTGGGACCTAATTCCCTTTGGGAGTGAGAATGGAAGAGGCCCCTCTGCCATCTCTTACTAACCAGGTGGCTATGAAGACCAGGTTCAAGACAGACTCTATGTGTCAAGGGCCTCAAGGAACAAAGATTGGGCTCTGGGGAACAAATAGGGCTTCTGGGAAATTAGAGAGGGGAAGCTTCTATGTTTAATTCTAGCTCTCACATTTTCCATGTAAGAGATCTTTGGCATTAATACATGGATTCATTCACTCCTGGAAATTTCTTCCTATCAATGAGAGTTCAAGGGAGTGGCAACTCACCCTCCACTATGCCTAGAACAGATTAAGGACAGCATTAACCTTCCCCCTTCCCAATCCCATCCTGACTTGGGAAAATCCCTCTGGAGCCCCCTCCCCTCCACATGGTACCTCCTCTACAGAAGCAGGGCCCCTCTTGCTGCTCAGGTGGAGGGTGTAAAGGGACTGGTACACTGGGCTCCAGCCCTTGGGGCATCCTGTTTAGGCCCAGATCTCTGTGAGACTGAGGGGACTAAGGGACCACCAGCCCCCTACCTCAATGGTGCTGCCATCAGGCAGGTAGTACTGAGCCTTCTCTGTCTCGAGTGTCTCATCCTTCTGGGGGTTGATGGATAGGTAGCAGGCTCTCTATAGGACAAGCAAAACTGTCAGGCAGGCAGGACATCTGGCAAACACATGGCCACAGTCCCAACAGAGTAATGGGACAGTGCTGATATAGAAACCTGTCCATCTGCAGTGAATGCTCTAATGGTCACGGGAGCTGCTGCCCAGAAGCAGGAGCAGGGAGGTCTCTGTTGGCCTTCATTGGAGCTCTCTCACCTGCTCCACCATCCTGGTGGGGAAGCTTGGAAACTTGGCTCTCTGGATCCTGGGTCTAAGACCACAAACTCATTTTAGTCCTGGCCAAGGGATCTTTCTCCTTATACCACTCATATGGTACAATTTACTTAAAATGAAAATTGTATTACGACCTTTTCTTTTCTTTTCTTTCTTTCTTTCTTTCTTTTTTTTTGAGACAGAGACTCACTATGTGGCCTTCGGTAGAGTGTCGTGGCATCACAGCTCATAGCAACTTCAAACTCATGGGCTTAAGTGATTCTCTTGCCTCAGCCTCCCAAGTAGCTGGGACTACAGGCACCTGCCACAATGTCCAGCTATTTTTTTATTGTAGCTGTCATTGTTCTTACACTGGCCTAGGCTGGGTTTGAACCCACCACCTCCACTTTATGTGGCTGACGCCCTAATGGCTGAGCTATGGGTGCTGAGCTGTATTGCGACTTTTTTAAGGATGTAAAAGAACCTATGTAGTTTGTACATAAGATACAAAAAACATACTGAGCACCTGCATACAACTCCCTTTCCCCCCACATGATGGCAGCACTTCAGAAGGGCGAATCTGTCACACAACTGCCAGGAGGTCTGGCTGGGGAGAACAGGGCCTGAGCTGGAATCACTTTTCTCCACTCGCTCCTCACTGAGGTCCTGGCTCCCATTCCCCCATTCCCAATCCCAGCCCTAGGCCCACCCAGCCGCACTCACTTCTTTTATGGCCTTGACAATCTCAAACTCGGAGGATGAGTGGAAATCATAGCCCTCCTTACGCAGGTAGAGGCGAAGGAAGCGAGAGACATCCCGGCCAGCAATGTCGATGCGCATGATAGAGTGGGGCATGGCAAAGCCCTCGTAAATGGGCACAGCATGGGTGACGCCGTCCCCAGAATCCAGCACCACACCCGTGGTCCTACCTGTGGCATAACTGAAGAAAGAGGGAAAACCATCACTTTGCCCTAAGCCCTCACTCTGGGAAGAAACCCACTTTGTTTTAGAGTTCAATGTCGGCCCAACTAAAGCTTGGGCCTAACTTTTTCCAGGGGCCTTAAAATGTGCTGAATGAATACTAAGGAAGCCTGAGTGTTGAAGCAGGCCTTAAAACACCTGGATGAAAAGAGCTGAGCTCCTCCAAGCTCCCTCCTCCACACACAGACCAGGCCTTTCACTGTGAGCAGATGGCCTGGTTTTAAATTGCTTCACAGACCCAGCTTAGGAGCAGCTCAACTCTCCAGATGAAGAAAAACACTCAAATGTTTACAAGGGTCAGGCAGGAAAAGTAAATGAGTAAAGTAAAATAAGAATATTTTTTTCTTCCATAAAAAACTAGTTTTTCCCCCACATGGCCTTCTCGGTCTGCTTTTTTCTTTTTTTTTTTTGAGACAGAGCCTCAAGCTATCCCCCTGGGTAGAGTGCGATGGCATCACAGCTCACAGCAACCTCCAACTCCTAGGCTCAAGCGAGTCTCATGCCCGCCACAATGCCTGGCTATTTTTTGGTTGCAGCCATCATTGTTGTTTGGCAGGCCCGGGCTGGATTCGAACCCACCACCTTAGGTGTTTGTGGCTGGTGCCTTAGCCACTTGAGCCACGCGCCGAGCCTTGGTCTGCTTTCTTTTGGGTACAGATATCTATTTCTGTGAGATAAGAGGACCAAGTGTCTCCATCAAGAGACACAATAGAGAATGGGGTGGAGCATGGTGAAGAAGACAGGCTTGCAAACCCTATCTAAAATGGCAGCCATTATTTAGTTCTAGCTGATTTTTTTTTTTTTGCAGTTTTTGGCCGGGGCTGGGTTTGACCCTGCTACCTGCAGCATATGGGACTGGAGCCCCTACTTCTTTGAGCCACAGGCGCCACCCACTCTAGCTGATTTTTGCCCTGTAGAAATGCAGGCCCAGTATCATCAGATCTCATTTTTTCAGAGAAGACAGAAATTTGGATATGAAATCTCCCAAGTTTCAAATTCTGGCTCACAATTTTTATAATGGGGAGATAAAATAATCTCATTTCACAAATGTACAATCTCTGCAGCAGACCTAACCCTGGAGCATTACAGAAATGCAGGGCATGAGAACAGGGACTGTGGTGGTACTTGGATCAAGACTGTAGCCCCAGCCTGGCTGAGCACTGGCGTACAGTAACCACGTAATTTATTTATGTGTTCAATAAATACACGAACACATTACCGGGCCTTCAGGAAGAGCTGTAGCAGCAGCATGTGGCTTCCTCAGCAGGCCTCACAGAAAGCCTTGGCCACCAAACCCATTGACAGTACCAACACTGGAGTATAGTCACCACCAGTCACATCTCTTTTGGTTTCAAGTAAGAAGCCTAAATGCTCAGTTTCAGCAAAAGTCTCACTCCCTTTCCCACCATTCCTTAACCTTTCCCTAGCAGGGGTTACAGGGGGAGCTCAGGTTGCTCGGAACCACCCCAGAGAAGAGTATGCCTCAATGGTGCCAAAGGACTTCTTTCTCCACAAGGGGATGGAGCTAGCCCACTGCTACTCACAGGCTAAGCACAGCTTGCATGGAGATGAAAAGAGCTGGCACGTTGAAGGTCTCGAAGAAAACTTCAGCAGCTCGTTCCCGGTTTTTCCGTGGGTTTAAAGGTGCCTCAGTCAAGAGCACAGGATGCTGGTGAAAGAAGCCCAGCAGGTAATCAGGGTGAGGTCAGATCTCCACCCTCATTAGTACCGGGGGAGAAGCCCCAGCTTTGATGGTTTGAGAGCCTAGAGACCTTTGTCAGCCTCCTCTCCAAGAAAAGGCAACTTGGGCCTGTCACCTAGCCCTGCCCAAGTTGGATTCTTACCTTTCCAAATTCAAGCCCCCTTTAAAGTCTCATTCTGTCCCTTGCCTCCACTCCCCATTCCCCTCCTGTCCTCCAATGTTCATATATAGGCCCCTCTAGCTACTGTTTAACTGTCAAGAAAATTTTATTACATAATAAAATTCTGAATTATTATGATAAAAAAAAGTTAAATTTTTTACTCAAAATAGAAAATTAAATTTCAATATTGAATATGCTTTAAAAAAACTAAAAATATACCTTCCCTGGTAATTGAAACACCTAGCTTGCACCATCCTTTGCATTTGTGAATTGAGAGTTCCTTAGAAGTTAATGAGCATAATGGGCTCTGAATTCTGAAATATGTGGGTTTAAATTCCAGCTCTACCACTTTATACACAAGATGATCTGGGAAATACTACTTGGGGCTTTCTTAAGCTTCTGTTTGCTTATTTGTAAAATAAGATAACGCTACTTATAACTCATAAGAATGGTATGAAGATTAAGTTCGAATGTCTGAAAAGTACATGGCCTGGTGCCTGGCACAGAGTAAGACTCCAACAACCTTGGTGGTTATCATCATCATCCTTATTATCTCTGGGGCGGGGGTTCTGCCCAGTTTTGCAGGGCATGTGCCCTGTACACAGGACCCTCACCTCCTCTGAGAAAGTCTGCAGCTGGTCCTTAGAATAGACATATTGCCAGATGCGTTCCATGTCATTCCAGTCCTTGACAATGCCATGCTCCATGGGGTAGCGGATAGAGAGCAGCCCACGGTGCTCCTGAGGAAAGAAGACAGGACTTAAAGTCCAGAACTCTGTTCTCCCAGGATTGAGCTGACCAAACTGAATCACTTGGAAAGGAGGCTTAGCTCCCCGAGTTTCTACTCCATCGTCCTCACCCAAGGCTAAGGGTGCGTACCCATTCTCTAAGTCTCTGGACTCCAGCAAACTCCCCTTGCTGCCCAAATTTCTGAATTTCTATGGGTCCTTAGGTGCTTCTAGAGCAAATGACAGGAGGAACTTTCCTCATTACCTCATTTCAGGACATAATCTCTGGCTCCCACTTCTGGGTCTCAGCACTTAAAGCCAAAATGGCAATAATGCTTCTGTTGGGCTGCTACTAGAGGCTGCCTGAGGGTTCTGCCCAAACTGTGCTAATTAACTCATCCCTAGGGTACCAGCCAGTATCTCCTTGAATTTGAATTCCTTTTGCCAAAAAAGTAACTATGCCAGGCAACTTTTTTTCCTTGAGACAGAATTTTACACTGTCACCTGGGTAGGGTGCAGCTGCATCACTGTAGCTCACTGCAACCTCCAATTCCTGGGCTTAAGTTATCTTCCTGCCTCAGCCTCCCAAGTAGGTGGGACTACAGCTACTAATTTTTCTATTTTTTATAGAGATGAGGTTTTGCTCTTGCTCAGGCTGGTCTCAAACTCCTGACCTCAAGCAATCCACCTGCCTCAGCCTCCCAGAGTGTGAGGATTACCGGTGTGAACCACCCCGTTTTCTAGACTGGTCTCAGTGTTTTCCAAAGTGGGGTTCCAGATATTTCTTCTGTAAGACCAGAGGCTACTCCTAGGAGAAATAAACAGCTAACAGGCCTAGGGATGAGAGAACCAAAAGGGAAATTTTAAGTGAAAATTTCTCTTTTTACTCATGGCTGTGTCCACTTGCTGGGACACTTCCCATGTGGTAAATAGTGAAGGTCCTTTGCAGATTTGAGGCTTGTTCTATAGGCCTGGAAATTACCTCAGCTTTGGGGCCAATGAAGATGTCACCTTCAAGGGCTCCTGCCATGACACGAACATGCTTGGGTCTGCCCACACTAGAAAAAAGAGCAAGGAGGACCATCAATTTTCATTTCATGACAGCACATATAAACACTCAAATTCCACTGTGATTATCTTTGAGGAGTGAGGGTACAGTTGATTTTGATGTCCTTTTTTATAGTTTTCTGTATTTTCCACAATTTCCACAATTAATGTGTATTATTTATTATTTCATATGTTTATTATATTTGTATTACTTTGTAAATTACTGAAACAAATTTTAGAGGATTCAGTACTTTTAGTTCTTCTTTTTTCCCAATGTATGTGCAGACCAAGAGAGATAAGGAAATAAGAACTTCTAAATATGAATGGTTAACTCAAAAATTTTGGTCTCCAGGCTTGGCGCCCATAGCTCAGTGAGTAGGGCGCTGACCACATACACCAAGGAAGGCAGGTTTGAGTCTGGCCCAGGCCTGCTAAACAACAACAACTGCAACCAAAAATAGCCGGTGTTGTGGCTGGTGCCTGTAGTCCCAGCTATAAGGGAGGCTGAGGCAAGAGAATCGCTTAAGTTAAGGTGACCAGACATCCCACTTTTGGCAGGACAGCCCCGATTTTTAACAATTTGTCCCGTGTCCCGCGGCATTTTTAAAAAGTCCCAATTTTTGGAAAGAATGCACGACAAGCTAGGGAACAGCGGGAGAATGGGAAGGGAGTATATGGTTTTTGGCTGCCATGTGGCTGTTTCGCCAGGATATGAGTTTTATATTATTTTTGTTAATTTTATAATGTTAAACTTTAATAATAACAAATAATTGTTGAGAACTGCTTATCAAAGTTCGCATTGTTGATCAGTTGTTAGAATTCGCCCACCATTGTTTGCACTTAATGAACGATGGCATTTTTTGGCATTGGCAATGACAAAAACATTTTGTAACTGTCTCTCAGATGATATACATCGCACTGCGTACTAATACTAGTTAAACAAGTGATGTCAACAAATCAGCTATTCAGATAATTTAGGTAAGTAATTTATTTATTTCATAAATTTAGAAACAGACAGTACTCTTATTATTTATATTTTATAGTGGTGGCAAAAAGTCTAGCACTGGCCTTGAAAGTGACACAGCTTGGTGCCTGTGGCTCAAGTGGCTAAGGCACCAGCCATAAACACCTAAGGTGGCAGGTTTGAGTCCAGCCTGGGCCCGCCAAACAGCAATGATGGCTGCAACCAAAAAATAGCCAGGCGTTATGGCTGGCGCCTGTGGTCCCAGCTACTTGGGAGGCAGAGGCAGGAGACTCGCTTGAGCCTAGGAGTTGGAGGTTGCTGTGAGCTGTGATGCCACGGCACTCTACCTAGGGGGAGAGCTTGAGGCTCTGCCTCAAAAAAAAAAGAAAGTGACACTTACCACTTATGAGGTATCATTATTAAAAATACATATTGATAAGGAAAGGTCAAATCTTGGGCATCAGCAAAAATCACAATAGAGAACAAATGGTTAGAAATATTTTATCATTTTGAAACAAACCATGTTCCATACAATAATGCACTAAAAATTGTGGGATATGGGCTGTCCTTACCAGGAACTAATGCTGCGACTGAACGCGTTTTTTCTACAGTAAATAAAGTGTGGACATCAGAAAATTCACAATTAAGTGTTGAGACTTTGAAAGCCATTTTATGTGTGAAATATAATTTAACAAATTCTTGTGAAAAATTTCATGACCTTTTAAACGATAGCAATCTACTAAAAAAAATTCACTCAAATGAGAAATATGCCAAAGAATAAAATAATACTGTACATAATTTTTTTAATATATTATATTTGTAAATTGTACTTATGTTGAAATTAAAAATATATATATATTACAATACTGTTTTTGCATTCTATGAAAATTTGTGTTGCTCCACATAGACCAAATTTTTAATTAAGAACCTCGCGCCCTCCCCTCCCCCATCAGTGGTGTCCCGCTTTACCAGTGTTAAAATCTGGTCACCTTAGTTTAAGCCCAAGAGTTTGAGGATTCTGTGAGCTATGATGCCACAGCACTCTACCGAGAGCTACACAGTGACACTGCATCTCAAAACAAAAGAAAAAAAATTTTTTGGTCCCCTTAGCCTCCTTCCCAGGACCTTGCCTAAGTAAAACTCAAGATAGACTCGACAGCCACTTTCTTTTCGTCCCCCTTGAAACCTCTTCCCTAGGCCTCTGTGCTCTTCTGTCTGTAGTTTTTCTACATGGCACTCTACCAAGGGCTACACAGTGACACTCTATCTCAAAACAAAAGGAAAAAAATTTTTTTGGTCCCCTTAGCCTCCTTCCCAGGACCTTGCCTAAGTACAACTCAAGATAGACTTGACAGCCACTTTCTTTTTGTCCCCCTTGAAACCTCTTCCCTAGGCCTCTGTGCTCTTCTGTCTGTAGTTTTTCTGCCTTAGGAAGAAAGTTCTGAGAAACTCATTCTCACTAGGCTGGTAGGTATGGTGTAATGTTGTTTTGTTTTCTGTTTTTTATTTTTTTGAGACAGAGTATCACTTTGTCATCCTCTATAGAGTGCCATAGTGTTATAACTCACAGCAACCTTAAATTCTTGGGCTCAAGTGATTGATTCTCTTGCCTCAGCCTCCCAAGTAGCTGGGACTACAGGCACCCACAATGTCACCGTTTTTTTTTTTTTTTTTTTTTTTTTTTTTAGAGACAGGGTCTCATTCTGGGTCAGGCTGGTCTTAAACCTGTGAGCTCAGGGAATCCACCGGCCTCAGCCTCCCAGAGTGCTAGGATTACAGGCATGAGCCACTGTTCCTGGAGGTATGGAGTAATGTTAACCCCAGCCTGGGTGATAAGAGAATTTTTTTGAGACAGTCTCACTATGTCACCTCAGTAAAGTGCTGTGGAATCACAGCTCTCAGCAACCTCTAACTCTTGGGATTAAGCCATTCTCTTGCCTCAGCCTCCCAAGTAGCTGGGACTACAGGCGGCCACCACAATGCCCAGCTATTTTTTTTGTTGCAGTTGTCATTGTTGTTTAGCAGGCCTGGGCTGGGTTTGAACCTGCCTGCTTTGATATATGTGGCTGGCACCCTAACCACTGAGTAACAGGTGCTGAGTTGTGATAGAATTTTAAAAAGAAGGCTCCCTAAGAGGCAATCATTCCAAGTATTGGTGACCAATGATAAAATTTTTGGCATCAGATAAAATCAAATTTAACAAAAGAGGCCTCTTGCCTGTGTCTCTCAAATTGAACCATGTATACAACTATTTTCTTTGCTGACTTCAAACCCAGCTCCAGGCCCTTGCTTGTTGTACCAAGGCTGGCTAAATGAGAATTTCTCTTCCTGAAAGAGGGAGGCCTGGCCATAAAACAAAGCTGATGAGCCAAACATCTGTCTAAGCTACAGAATGACTTACTAGTTTGGAAAGCAGTATTTGGGGATCTGATCACCAGCAAAACCAGCTTTAATAACACCGGATCCCTGAGGAGAGAGGAGAGAGAAGTCAGAACTATCACAAACATAAGGGAAGTTTTTTTTTGAAGAGAGAGAGAAACCTTACATTTGTTGTTTTTTTTTTTTTTTTT